GAGCCGCACCAGCGCAACAGCCACAAGAGCATTGATAGCCATGATGAGAAAGGCCAGGATAGCAAGGAGTACCCCAAAGCACACGTTTCCCATGGCAGTTTTCTTTACCGGAGCAAGGCAAAGCGGGAGACTCCAGGCACTCGGTAGCTGAAGCTCACCAGTGGAGCCACCACAGACGCAAGCACACCTCCTTGAGCTGTTTGTTCAGGAGACCGCCCGAGCAGTACAGGTGATGGGGGAAATCTCAAAGCAAGAGATGGTGTGCCCCAATCATTGGCCAGGCAGCCGAGCAAGTTAGCTCCAGCCTGTTTGAGCTGCTACATCCAGTTAAGCTAGCCTTGTAAGGCTCCTATTGACAGAACCTCCTAAAGTGCTGGGCATAACCCCTCCCCTTGGAGGGATCAGTTTCCAGACAACCCCCAAGCAGAGAGAGGAAATGCTTCCTGCAACTTCGTTGTATACACACAGCTCTCTAAGTAACCTTGACCTTTGCCTCTGGGCTCTATAATAAGCCCATCCGAGGGTGGGAACGGGGAAGGATTTCATTCAGATTCACCAAATGTCCTGAATTATTTTTAACTTAATCCATTTATTCATCTTGAGTATCCTTGCACGGAAACAAAACTGGGAAAGGTCTAAAGAAAAACGGACTGCTTAATGCTATTCAAGATGACAAGTTGTGCTCACAGAAGGATAAAGGGAGGTTGCGGCTACGCTCCATATAAGCCAAGGTCCCTCCTTTCGGAGAGCTACCTTGATTAATGCGCAGATGGATCACATCAACAGCAACTTCCAGACGCCCTTTGGAAGGGCATCCTTATAGGTTTAAAACGAGGAAAACTGTTTCACAGAGCTAAGTAGCCTGCTTAAATCTTCATGTATCCAAAAGCTCCTTCATCCCTAATGTGGCTTCCTCAGCAGTTTTCACCACGCTCCCTCTGATTCAGGGGACTCAGTATGGAACCCCAAAGAAACTGAAATATTTAAAGTATATTGGAGGGGTAAGTGGGATGCTGGAATAACCAGCCTGTGAAGGGGAGAGCAGGCACAGATTTCTATGGGTCTTAGGGGCTTCTCAGAAATGCTTTACAGAAAGCGTTGCCCAGGGGCAGATTAACCATTAAGCAGTCTAAGCACATGCTTCTACAGTTCAGTGTAAAGGGGGCACCACAAAGTTGGGGAAAGGTTGAAAAGGGGGGGGAAATGAATGAAGATTTGTGAAAAAATTTGATAAAACTAGTGCACATTGATCATGGTGCACACTAGGGTTATCTTCTATTTTTTGTTGGCGAGGTGCAGTGTCATAGGCTATGACACCAAGATTGGGGGCACCAAGATTGGTCAGTGCTTAGGGCACCAGTGAGCCTTAATCTGCCCCTGACGTTGCCCGATCCCCTGGCCACTGGCAGGGAGGTGGGAGTGGTGGGCTAGAGGTGCCAGCTCCAGGTTGGGAAACTCTTGGAGATTTGGAGATGGAGCCTGGGGAGGGCAGGGACCTCAGTGGAGTACAATGCTATAGAGTCCACCCTCCAAAGCATCCATTTTCTCGAGGGGAACTGTAATAGTCTCTGTAGTCAGGAGACGAGCTGTTATTCAGGGGATCCCCAGGTCCCACCTGGAGGCTGGCATCCCTAACTGAAAGGGAAATGGTACAGGTGAACAGTTGCCAGTAACGCAAGGACAAACCTTGCACACATTTGTGCCAGTGCACTAAAACAATTGCACAGGGTGCTCCTGTGTATATTTATTATTTTTTGTGAGACCTCCCTTTGCCAGGGCTGGGAAATAAATTTCTTTGGTAAGACTTCTCATAAAACTTTCTGCAATCAATGTAAAACAGAGTTGTTCAGGAGGGCATTTTTATAAAGGAACAGGGCAGCGTTGAAACTGAATGATTCAAGAAGACATTTCAGTAGAGAGGACTGTACCGTGGACTATACTACAACTATGTGCTATCTGTTGCCATATTTTTTTAAATCTTGCTTTCACTGCATTACATTACCACATACGTAATATTTCCTGCATTGTTTAACATATCATGTTTAATACTTATGCCTGGTTTCAGATTTCCACACCCTGTCCTGCTGTATTGTTTGTTAGCTATCTCCTCATGCTGTTGGTCATACTAACTTGCATTATGTGATCTGTCTCGAGTCTCAGTGGAAAAAATGGGCTATAAATAATATAAACAACAGCATTCATTTAAAATATTTGTATCCTATCTTTCCATTCTATAATCAGTCATGTAGCTAACATGAATATATAACAGACAATTTGAAAAAATGTGAAACACTGAAAGACTGGCAAAATAATGTAACGAAAGCAACAAAAAAGCTCCTTCAAATAAAACAGTTTTAACAGTACTAACACAATTCCATTCGAGAGTGAGCACCAAATAAATGTAATTTGGACGTCTGAGACACTACCTGGGAGTACAAGAAGGCCCATTTCTCTGTAGCCATCTACCTAATCTCAAAAGATTGGAACACTTGGAGCAGGACCTCCAGTGATTACCTCAGTAAACTGGTTCATTTGGGTCTCTCAGATACCACAGCCTGGAATAATGGATCCTGGGAGACCCAGGTTCAGATCTTCACTCTGCCATGGAAGCTTGCTGCGTGACCTTGAGCCAGTCTGTCTCTCTCTCTCTCCCCCTCTCCCCCTCCCCCCTC